GAGCTGATCAGTGATTTCCCAATTGTGAGTACAGATCTATCTGGATAATAATTTGATGTCACAGTGAATATTCTCAACCTCTCAGCTATGGCTTTACTTAAGTAATCCAAAACAAAGGCAGCTAACATTCCTCCCAATCACAGAAAGAGTTCAAAATTCCCAAAGCTCCTTAATTAAGGTCTAGGTTTGGAAAAATGGCCTAATGAATCTATAGGCAGTATTTTCTGCCCTAATTTCTGTGTTGACACAGGCTTGATAACAGATACCTATATCTATAAATATAAAGAATATAGATATTTATCATAATTTTACTGTCATGAATTTTTAAACAAAATTTAGTTCACTTCCCTAAGCAAGTTTTTTTTTTAAAGTTCACACTGTAGTTAAATTATAGCTCAACTTCGGTACAGTTTTTTTTTTAATTAAAGCTTTCATGGCACCTAAAAATAGCAATGAGGAAAAAAATCATTTTTCTGTGTTAAAGGCTGAATTGTGTTCCCCCCAAAATTCATATTTTGAAGTCCTAATCTCCATTACCTCAAAATGTATTTGGAGAGCCTTCAAAGAAGTAATTAAGCGACGTCATTAAGGTGGGTCCTAACCCAATATGGCAACTGTCCTTTAAGAAGATGAAATTAGGACGAAGATTTGGACAGAAGGAAGACCATGTGAAGACAGGGAGAAGACAGCCCTCTGTAAGCCAAGAAGAGAGGCTTCAGAAGAGCCAGCCCTGCCAACACCTTGATCTTGGATTTCCAGCCTCCAGAGCTGTGAGCTTCCTGTTGTTCAAGACCCCTCGTCTGCAGTGCTTCGTTATGGCCGCCCTAGCCATCTCACATATCCACCTTTTCAAATGCTCCTTTGTCACTGAAGTTTATATAGTATCTAATGCCAGCTTCAGTTTTATGGGAAATTGCCTGTAGGTCTCTGGCAAAGCATCTTTCCACACAGATTACACAAATAAGGTGCCCATTTCTGAATTATAAAATATTTTTAAAATATTAGAAATTATCACATACTCATGTCTTAAACACTATTACTTAGATACTAACTACAGCATGGCTTTTTACTTGGAAACTTTCTATCATATTTCCATATGCAAAAGACATGTCACTGGAAGTTTAACACAGCTGTCTGTATTTTTAGAAAAGAAGAAACAACACTGCCAAGATAAAATATTCTGAATACGATGCTTCGAATTTTGAAAATATTTTGATGGGCACCAAATTTCAACATGTAGTAAAAAGAAATACCCTTTTGGAATCCAAACTTACTCAAGTCATTCTTTTTTTTCCAATGTCAACTACATGACTAATGCACACATTTGGTTCTTGATTAAAATTTTATCATAGGCATTATGGTGAAACCATGATGCTTTAACTACATTGAAGAGGAGCTTTTTAGGTAAATATTGAGGCGCAGACAAAAGTATAACTGAAAAGGGAAACTAAGAAGATTTCAGATTAATTAGCATACCATATTTTCTCTGTTGATTAATGAAAAGCCAAATAGCATAAACTAACAGTGACACTAAATAAGTAGTTCTAGAATTCTAAAAGCTAGGTGAGGAACAAAGGCACACAAAGAAGTGTTTTCTGTTGGTTTTGCCTTTAAGAAGAGTAATATGCAGTTGAGCAATTCTTGGAGCCAATTATATAGCATTTGTTCTACAGGGACTATACTGTTTAAAGAACTTCAAATTTTCTGTAGTCTTGGCTGGTGTCCCTCAGAGGAGTTCTGGTTAAGTTCTTAAATCAACCATCCCCTCCACTATAAATAAAATCAAATACCAATTTGGATTTAATGTTCAGACATTAAGAATTTTGTTCACGAGACAACTTCTAAAACTGGAAAGTAAAGTTCTTTCTAAAGTATTACCTTAAAAAACATTTACAAGTAGCATGGGGCTATTATATGGACAATATTTGAGAAACAAATGATCCTCAAGAAAAGGTGTCTTATGGGAAAAAAAGTGAAGCTAAAGGGTATTTATGATATCTGAAGATGTTCAGAACACATGCAAGCACTGGCCACCACAGTCCAAATGATTTGGAAATATTTTCTAAATGGTAATATTAACAAAAGAAGGAAGGGAAGAAAACAACAACAAAGAACTGGCCATTGGTCATGAATATCCTGCCGGCATTACAATAGGATTTATTCTGGTTCTACTCCAGCTTCTCTTAGAGGACAATTTAAAACAGCTTTTTAGAAATTAACAACGTACAGTGTAACGGTTCAGAGCCTGGGCTCCATAACCAGTCTTCCCTGTTCTACCTCTGGCTTTGCTATTTACTAGCTGTGTGGGCTTGGACAAGTCACTGAACTTCTCTGTGCCTCAGCTACCCCTCTCAAATGGAGACAAGAACAGAATGATCTCAGTGGAATGTTGTGAGTACTAAATGGGCTTCTCTATGTTAAACCTTAGCACAGTGCTTGAAATTTGGCAAGTGTCATACAACTGTTGGTGGCAGTGGTGTGACAGACAGAGCAACTCAAACACCGATTTCACCCAGAACACAAAGAGCCCAGTAACATGTCTGATGAGGTTGGCTTGAACAAACTAAATGACAATTCCAAGCTGGGCGACAGCTAAACACATTCGAGAATTTTATTTACATACAATTTTTTTCCACCAGGCTTACTGTTCCCAAAATTCACATTTCCACTGATCTGAGCTGCTCTTACGCACCCAGTACAAGAACAGAAAAAAGAGCAAACCATTCTTTCAGGAGCTACCTGAAAGCAGCTGACCTGAAGGCCTACTGATGAAATCAAATCACAGTTAAACGCACATTTAACAAAAACACCAGCCAAGAACATCAGAGGCAAATTTTGTTAGCCAGAGTGATGGTCACTGACAAGCACTCGCCCAGAGATACAGCAGCAAAATGTGGAAACAGAGGATGCTGACACCACACTGTCCTCGATTCTAGCACAAGGACTGTCCCCCTTCCACCAGCAGCACCTGGACCAGTTTCTTCCAGCCTCCTCCTGTCCCCCCTCCCGCCCCCCAACTCCCTCCCTGGGGCATACGTGGAGAGCAGAGGCCGAGGCTATGATGACCACCATCAGCGGCTTATTTTGAGCTACTTTCGATTCTAAGAACCGTGAAAGCTCTGGAGTGGCTCGAACAATTTTATCTGGCCCTGACAACCCTCTTAAGAATATATACCCAATTTTCCTTCCACCTCCCTATCGCCTCCTCCTAATCTGACTTCTCTCTCCTCCAGAAACTGCTTATCACGCTTAAGTAAACAAACATAAATAGAAGTTTTTGACTAGTTGCAAAACTCCAGTGCCGAACAGCCCACGCTGCATTTCTGATCTAATCCCTATTTGCACACACCAGGATGTTCCTGAGAGATGAAGGCCGAACTTGGTTTTGCTCTCTTCTATCAATGTCCTGGGTGTCCTTGGCCTACACCAGACACAAGATCTAAAGCATTAAGTACATTTTCTCCACACTTTCCAGGGTTACATTTAATTCCTCATATGTGGAGAGTCTGGTTTTGTATATAATCACTGTTTATTTCCTTAGTACATTTTCTATCTCCTGCAAGTGTGCTGTCAAATGTTTAAAAGCCTTCTATTTTAAAGCACAAGTCGATAGGAAAAGATGGGAGACATAGAAAAAGTAGAAATACGTCTTTTAAACAAAAGCAGAATGTGGTTTAATTCAAACCGAGCTTCTGAATTATCCCAAAGCCAGTATGCAAAACCACACTTAACAATGTAGATGGCACTGCGAACAGCAACTTAATGAATCCACACAGCAAAGCCACGTGGACCAAGAGAAGGCATTCTGCAGTATGCTCGCTACGGCATTAGAGCTGCAAGATAACACATTAAAGGGGTTACATTTTCTACATGCTGCCTATTTTTAAAATCTCAATTCACTACTTCATTGCATTTTTTTCTTTTTCTTTAAATAACATTTGAAACGATACTTTAAAGAACTATTTCATTCTCTCCTATCCGCTGACAAGAAATAAGAAAGTTGCAGCAGTGAATTACCCACTGCTAAGTATCAACGTAATTTGGATTAGTAAGACCTCTACTTTCAGGCAGCGTCAGAATTATTACTCTCTAATTCCAAGAAGCTGAACACATTCAAGCGTTTCCATTCCTGAAAAATTATCCTACTGACAAACTACGAATATATAAGAAGCATGGAAACAAATCTGTGTCCAGTTCTGAAGAGCTCGACCTCACTGCTTGTTTCATGTTTCTGAAACATTTTGCTGTCGGTGATTTATTTCACATCCATGTGGCCGGCCATTTGTTTATTCTATCGCATGCCATCTGTTTTTCGGTAGAGAGGTTTCAAGTTCTTCTCATTCCCTACTTCATATCCCACGGAAAACAATTTATAATAGACATAGATTTAAATCATTTGGATACATGTGGAGCTGGTAACTGGAGCTGCCTTTCATTTCTATTTGGCAAATGCTTTAATGGGATTAGCAAATCGTGTTATTACGAGATACTTATGGAGACACACCACCTTTTTTCTTCTTTTTTTAAACAATGACAAATGATGTGAACAATTTCATTTTGGGTGTTTAACAGCCACAGAGAAGATTTTTACTAAGGTTACAGGAAATTTCCCCAAGAGACGATAAACCCCTACTACAAACCCTGTCCATCTTTTATTTCTGAGAGTCAAGAAGTATGTGGATCAGGATGTGGTCGGGTCTACAGTGAGGAATAAATATCAAGCTGCTTCACTTTTCAGGGAAAGTTATCATTTGACCCACAGATCTGAAAACCCTGGCTGGTTCTCCTATCTTGTTGGCATCCTCCAACCTCTCTGACACTGGTCTCATTTGCCAGATAACTTTCCCCAAAGAAAAGTTTATGCCACAAACTCCAGCTCATCAACACCGATTTATTCCCAGTCTAGAGCCCACTTTGATTTGCTCTAAAGAAAGAACCAACCATTCAGAGAAACAGCTTCTTGCGGAAACTCTACAGATGATGATAAAAGCATTAATTACCATTTTTACAAGGATCCTCGCTGCTTTGGTGGAGAGGGGGTATCTGATGGCAGGACCCAGCGGCTATCCACAGTTCATGGCTGACATCCAAGGGCTGAGAAAGGTCCATCTTGAGGTCCACTGGATTTTCATTAGTCCTTAGCAAAGCAGAATGAGACATATCTCGGGGGTACGTGGCATCCTGATGGATATCTGATGAAGTTGGTTTGTTGAAAGTGTTAAGTGACATATGTACTAAAGCTTCATTGATGAAGAATGAATTTTCATGACATAAACTCTCAGATCGATTAAGTTCCATTACCTGTGTGAGCAAAAAGAAAAAATACAGTAACTTCTCCAGCAATCTGTGTAAGTTTTATAAAGTATTTATTCTGAACAGAATTTAGCAGTCAAGATTTTAATACGAGTGACGTTGAAAAGGATACTACCCTTGATCCTTCCTCCCATCCCTTTTTAATGGGCTGGTACCAAAACCTTCCATTCACAATGCACAGCGTGTTTTAAAAGAAACAAAAACCAAACCAAAAAAACACAAGCAGTGGTGCTCATCACCACTAAAGTGTGTCTACTTTAAGGGAATAATATTTTTACTTTGGCTAAATAAAAGGTGAAAACATTCATGTATACATAAGGTATTTGCAATAAATGTAATTTAGCCAGTTTGAAAGGAAAATCAGATGTAACAGATCATTCTTATAAGCTTATCAACTTTTACAATTTTATGTACTCTCAATAAAAAGTATGTATGTGCACCTAGTACAGAAAAGTAAACTCCTGGGACAAATGGAACTGCCAAGCATGGTTAGAGAGGGTGCAAAAGGAAACACAGAACCTTTGGAAAGATTTTATCCAGTACAATCGTTAATTAGTATACAACTCACGTTAACTGTTATTAGGGAAATGAATTTTGAGTTTACTAAGTCAAATTTACAAAAAGAGAATCAGCTTGGAATAACAGAAAAATATTATACTTATTACATTTAGTACCGCTGCACGTTAACAGCTAACTGATCTACTAAAAAGTCAATCTAAACAGAACTCTAATGACTAGAGCCTGTAAAGGGGGTCCTTCAACTAGAGGAAAACCAGCATTGCTCGCAGTGAGCACGCGTCCAGGACAAACTAGCCTTAATGGGGCAACTTGCTTCTGTGTTTCTTCCTTTGCATGAGGGCATCTCAGAGTCCAATGAACCCATGATCCAGCAGCACCGAGGCCCTTCAAATGTCCCTATTTCAAGTCAAGATGCCTATGCATTGTCTCTGAAGGTTCCCAGCCTCTGCTGCCTACATACTGATGAACTCTTGTGAGCTCTTACAGAAGCAGCAAGAAGATGGATGTTTGGTCAATGGCTCGACAACCAGGACTAAATCCGTCTCTGGGAAGCTGCCTTACACTCTGCTTTCGTAGCCACGGAAGACACGTACCTCCATGCTTCCCGGGGAAAACGCTGCGGGAAGGCTACTCTGCCGGCTGTGTTTCCAGCCGCACAGCAGGCTCTGCTGGGCCCGCATCCTCTCCCGCTCCCTCTCTACCAGGCGCTGGCCCTCCCGCAGCCGCTCCAGGTTCTGCTGGTACTCCTGGAGCTGCTGGTCCAGCTCCCCGCGGCTCCTGAGCAGCAGCTCCTCCTGCGACTGGCACTCCCGCTCGCGCTCCTGCAGCCAGCTGGCCTTGGCCGCCTGCTCCCGCTGCTGCTGGTCGCACCTGCGGTGCCAGCGCTGCTGGTCCTGCTGGAACTGATGCTGGAGCTTGTGGATGTTGGCCAGCTCCTCCCGCCGCTTCTCCAGGTTGCGGTACCTCTCCTGGTCCTGAAAGGGGCTGCCTCGGAAAAAGGGGCCGGGGGACAGGCTCTCCTGCTGCTGGAGCACAAGCCTGTGGATCTCAATGTGGCTGTCCTGAATGGTCAAGGCGGCCTGGCGGAGCAGAGAGGAAGAAAGTGAAGGCTTCCATGTTGTTTGCACCTTGGGGTGGAATGACCTCTAAAAATCACGACCCAATTATTCTCTCTTAATATTTCTGTCCCTTGCTCTAAGTTACCTCCAGAGACTGACCTTGGCCCTGCAAATAAGCTTGTCTGCACTTCCTCAGTGGTATGGCCTGGGATTTATGTATGAAAGAAATAAAAGCACAAAAGCAATACTCATCCTCTCTTCTGGAAACGTGGTTTATTGCTGGTTGCTGGATAGTATTTAAGCAAGTGTTCTGAAGAAGAAGAATCCAGTCCCTAAATTCACGAGACTCTGCATTCCTGTGCTATGTCTCATTTTCTTTCTAAGGTCTCTGGAGTCAGTAATTCAGGAGAATTTAAGAATCTATATAAATCTGGTAGTACCCTTGAGCCTCAAACCAGAAATTACTTAAACTATACGACATACGTGGAGACATAAAAATAAAAGTCAACCACTTGGAAGCTTTCGGTAAATAATCTCTTTTATGATATAACGTCTGAGAAGACGGTTAATATCTTACTTAGGAGATATGTATGTGGAAAAACTAGTCCCCTGACTGTTGCTTCTTTGTATTACAGCAGGAGTGGCACACAGAAAACACTCAGCTGAAATTCATTTGTCTAATGGACGGCTAAAAGGAGGCTGTGATGATTAAAGGAAGACAGGTACCCTCAAACCCAAGGGGACATCACCAACCAGATTAAAAAAACATTTCTAGTTACGGTATCTGCCTATGAAAAGTTTGGCAGTATCATGGGAAACAACTGCCAAGTTTTAGAAAGATTTCACAAAACCAAGAAAAACAACCTCTGCGAATGCCCTTGGAAGCTTTTAATTTTAGAAGTTCCCATTGAAAGCACAAAGAAGCAGGGGAGGGACAACTTGCAAATGGCCACATACTGGTTATGTGTGTGCGTTGTGACCCATTAGGAGAAGTTATTACTCTCCTGGGGATAAATTCTCATTTTTCTTTCCTAAAACTTTTACTTTTAAAAACTGTCCATGTAACAGATGCTGGGAAGATGGGGACTTGACCAGTAGTTCGTTGCTAAATCAGCAGTTTCCTATGCTTCCGAAGGTTAAAGAACTAATACATGTTTTAAATGGGTACGTGTCTTGGAATGAGACTCCACAATGTATTCAGTGGGGCCTTCTGAAATAAAATTCATGTTTTTAAATTTGAAAATCAATTCAGAAAATTTCAAATTCAGATGAATATTCGATTAATGTCTTTCAGCAGTTATTATAAAGGAAACAATGACATCATTGGGAATGGGTCCTAATTACTCTGATCTTTAGACATGAAACAATAAGCCATTCAGGACTCTGCTGACCTAGCTAAAGCGAACTGTAGACTGAACATCACCACTTAATTCTAACAGATCCTAAGGGCATCAACACAGTAAAACAAACAAGCAAAAATCCAGTATTTTATATGCCAACGCTGCCACAGGCAATGATAATGCTCATGTAAGGATTACAATTAGATTAATTAAGTGCTGCCATGAAGTATTCTTCATATCGACTTAACAGCTGGGATAAGACCACTCTTTCCTGTAGCAGAGAGGTGAAGTCTGAAGACTGGATATTCATTTTGGCACTTAGAGTTTATATTTAGGACAGAGAACAGCACTTGCTTTTCAAGTTTAGGGAAACTCCCAGGTCCCTCTCTCTTAACTTTTTTTTGCGGAAGTAAGTGTGTCCTTCCCTTTCTGCCTGGCCTACACCTCAGCCCTAACTCTGTTCTTCTAACACAGGGATCAAAGTTCATTTTCATCTGATTCAAAAATGCTTATGCAAAAGCTTTCATCGTGTCTAAGAGATTCAGCTTCAAAAGAGATGGCGGTGCCATGAATAGAAATCTTCCAAAGCCCATGTCCTGAGACTAACTCAAAAGCTTTGGTGAAGAGAACCCACTATAGAATCGGATATTTCCCATGTTGCTTCAGCCTAATGTGTTGCAAAAACTAGGTTATTTAGGTCACCCAGCTTTTCTGAGCCGTGAATCCACACAGGGCTGCATTCAAGGTTGAAAAGAAGAGCTACGACCTTGTTTCCATCAGGCGACACAAGCCAGGACACTCAGAGTTTTTATATTGCAAAAGTTGATGACCTATACTCAAACTATATCCCTTCTCAGCTAAAATTTAAAAGAAAGAATACTTGTTTTCCATGAGAAATTCATCTCTAAGAATATCCACCCCAGACCGGCATATCTAATGTAATGGCGTTTCCACTACATCTGAGTAAGACAAGGATGCTTATTATGGCCACTATTATTTAATACATTTCAGAAGTTGTAGCCAAAGCAGTAAGCCAAGATGAAACTGATGTCATTACTGAAGAATAGCCATAATATTAATACTTTCAAATTTTTACTTTCTACCTGGAATACTCTAAAGAATCAAAAGAAAAACTATTAAAACAAACAAAAAGCAAAATTCAATCAGTTGGCCAGTTAAAAATATATTTTAAAAAATCAATACCTTTTTTCATACCAGCAACCAACATTGGGGAAATATAATGAAAAAAACAATATCTCAGGAATAAACTTACCAAAAACAAAATACATATATACATAGTACCTATATGAAGATAATTACAAAGCTTTCCAGCAGAACATAAAATAACTAACATATTCTCAGAGAAGAGAACTAATTATTGCAAAAGTGCCAATTCTCCTCAGTTTAATTCATAAATACAATAATATTTTAATTTAACTGTCTTAGTAGAAGGTAAGAGACTGGTCAGAGTGATTCAAAAGTTCTTATGAAAGAACCTATAGATAAGCATAGAAAAATAATAAGAGGAGATTAGCACTGTCATGTTCAAGAGTAATTCAAACCTTTAATAACTAAGACCATGGTGCTATAATAAGAATAGGCAGATGATCATAGAACACAAAACAAGTCTCGATGCAGTCAAAGCATTACTAAGAAAACATCAAATGCAGCACGACTGCATCTTTTTCTGAGGAAAACTTAAAATCAGACTTTATTTTCTTTTAATATTCAACAGATACAAGATACGAAGTAGGAACGGCGAATACACCAGTGTGGGGGAAAGTATACGTACGACTGAATCACTTGGAAATGAGCACAATGTTGTAAATCAACTATACTTCAAGTAAAAACTTTTTAAAAAGGGTTTTCTATAAATTTGTCTACACACGTTGCTTTCATATCATCTTAAAATATTTTTAACTCATAAATTAAGCAACTGGATGTATTCAGCCTTTCTTGTCCATGACCTAAGGGGAGCCCTGCAGTCCTAACTGTTATGATGTCTGTCTTTCCCAGACAGTGGACCGTCTGAGGGTAGACTCTGGGGCCCACCTGCCTCCGTGTGCTCAGTTCTCAGCACAGCGCCTGGCCCAGGGAGGCCCCTCAGGACACGTTAGCTGGATGAACCAACAAAACAGTGAAGGGGCATATGAACTATTTAACTGCCCCAAAGGCCTAAGGCCACATGTGGAAGTGAAACAAGTTTAGGTGTGAATTTAAGTTTTCACCAGAAAATGTGAAGTCATGCCACACTCACCTACGAGCTTCACTGTAAACCTCAAGCCAGATCGTAGTCATCAATATTTTTTAAAGATATGAACTGTTTTATGGCTTCAGAGAAGGATGGTATAACACGTAGTAGTGGTGGTGCCTCGTAATTACAAAACCAGGTGACGCTCAAAGCATCTAGCTGAGTTACGTTTGGGCGGCGGGGGTGGGAGGGTGGTGTTCTTTTAAGATCATTCACTGCCTCTCAAATGTTCTAATTTTTAAAGTCTGGGACTCATCAAATAAAGGGAATTGCATGAAGGGAAACATTCACAGGGTCCAAGACTAGAGGAGCATAGTTACCTGAAGGCTGTATAAGAGACGGGTTAAATTCTGTATCGCTTGTATAATCTGGAAAAGAAGATCATTAGTGTCAAATTCTTGCAAAAGCATTCACTATCCACAAAGAG